TGTTACTAATGTAGTCATAATTTCATCTGGATCTGGTATTGGTTCTGGATCAAAATCGTTACCTTATTCAAGTTACGAAAATCCACACATTTCCTCTGTCTACCATCGGACTTCTTGCCAAGACAATCGAACTGGCATACGTATAGTGGTGATTCTGATGGTTAAATTATATCCATGTCAATCATATGCTGTTATTCCCCTCGGACTGCACTTCTGACTGCATCAGGGATCTGCTATGGTCTGTTTCCGATTGGTTCTTTGGTAGTACGATGAACTTCATGCTGGATAACATATTCGTTCTACCAGGTTAATGGATTCAAGCTGATCTGATGATAGTGAATTATTTACAGTTCAGACCGGTCACGCCAGAGCAAACCCGAAGGGGACCGCGGGTCTGCTTCCCGGGTTCTCTCGGGGACCGCTTCCCGGGTTTTCTCGGGGTCCGCTTCCCGGGTTCTCTCGGGGTCCGCTTCGGGTTCGCTTTCAGAAATTTTGGGACAGCTCTTGGTCCGCTAGAGCGAACCCGGCGTTCGCTTTCTAGGACCGCTTTACGCACTGATACGTAAAGCGGACCCCGCTTTAATCTTGCGGCCAGTAAGCCCCGTCCCTTGTACATGTATATTCCAATACAGTAATGGAATTATGGAACTGATCATTGTTTGTTAAGGGGGCGATATATACATGACATGTAAGCTGTACAAGTAAACACTGACATTATGGAGAACATTATGGACAATCGTTCTTTAAGGTCAAGCACATAAGCGTACATTTAAGTAGTTAAGTTAGGTCCTTCTCCTCTATTGCCAACTATTCAATCAAAACTGCCATAGCTCCCCTTACATTACATGCATATCCTATAACAAGTTTGAAAACATTAGTGTTTTTGTGGAATTTCTCGATAAGCAAATAACAATGCTGGTAGGTATCTATACCAGTCTTTTGGTCTTTCAGAACTCACATTCCTTAACATTGACCTCAAAGTACCATTTAATTTTTCTACTAGTCTGTTCATGCTAAATGGTATGTAGTTGTTACTTATTGCTTAATTGATAAAAGTCGACCTACCTCTTTCATGTTGCTGAGGGTAAATTGCCTACCCTTGTCTGATATAACTTCTTTTGGAATGCCAACTCTGCTGAATATTTCTACCAATGCTTCTGCTACCGTCTCTGTATCGATGTTCTTCAATGCAACCGCTTCTGGATACCTTGTACTGTAAACTACAACAGCCAAAATATTTCTATTGCTTTTGTCAGTAATTGGAGAGATAGCGGACCTACCAAAGCTACTGCTCACAGTTCAAATGGTATATCAAACTAGAAGCAAAACAAGACCAAAACTTAGCCCGAATGTAGATATCTGTGCATGCTTAAACTATGTATCTTTTTTATATTGTCTTTGTTTCTTTTACAGATCGACCCTTCTTTCTCCTCTTTTAATCCATACCAAGGATTTAGCCATTCAGAAAATGCTTGTTCAGGAGAATCTGATTCTATAAAGATATACAATACAAAATTCCCTTCATTCGTTACTGAACAATAAAAAAGAAAAAAAAATCAGCATGTTTTGATCCTGAACGGGCTTCCGCACAGGTTTAGAGAAATAGAAATAAACTCGGCTTGCAATTTTTACTATAATTTCTTTTTAAGAAATGAATACATTCGATTACATGCGGGCCAGGATTTTATTAATATTAATGAGAATAATAACACGGAAGCCATCTCATGAACTAACTCTGCATCGCTTCTCCATACATAAAATAAACAACTTTTGCACTCTTGACAACATTTAATACTATTCTTTGGATTAAGATCGTTTAAAGCAATTGCTAATTAAACGCATTTAATTGATTTCCGAAAAACACAGGGGGGGGGGGGTAGGTCTTTTGACACTTTCCCCCGATTGCCGCGAGTATAAAAGAGGGGCGCACGTGGCGTTTTCCTCCTCTTGCTTGATAGCTTTCCCAGCGTTTCTGCACTTTTGATAATTGCTATGGAGTGCACTAGGAGCTTGTGTGAGGGATCTGTTCGGTATAACAGTAACCTCGTACCCCGTTCGGTATAACGGGTGGTTATTTTTGCCCTACTCAGTATAGTGGGCTTACCTGTTCAGTATAACGGGTGGTCATCTTTGCCCTACTCAGTATAGTGGGCTTACCTGTTCAGTATAACAGGTGCCTCGCTAAGGAATCCCCTAGGAGGCAATTACATATCCCAGCTGACTCGCTAAGGGGTACCCTAGGAGTCGATTTATACATATTGTTACGCCTTGCTATGGATTACCCTAGAAGGCGAGGTGCCATAACGCTCGTTATCAATTTAGGTGTGTGGCACCCAATGATTGTTAAATGCTTGTCTGACATTTGTCATTGAAACAATTATTAAAGCTGTGGCCTTTATCATCCAAGAAACATGTTTTGTTATTTTTTCGGAAAAATATTCTATTAAATAAGGAAGTAAAACACACTTTTAAGACCACTTATCTTACATTGCGTAGATGTACTGTTAATTGTTAGAAAAAAGTCAAATCTACTTGATATGCGCAGTGGCATTAAAAAGGCTTTGTACTATTTTAAAACCCTTATATTCATTGTGAAAAACAAAATTGATGCATCAAAGTCATTTCGATATTATCCAAAAAATTGATATCTATGATAGAATCACAAAATCTCTTTTGAGTAATATCTCTTATACTAGTACATATTTATATTTTCCTATCACATCAAAGCTTTTTAATGGATTTCTCCAGTAAGTGTAATTGTGTTAAGTGTAATGACTTTATTGTCGATTTATATATACTATTGCCATTTTACAGAGCTCTAGATTATTTTTACCCCAAAATGTATTAAATTAATGCAGTTTTTTAATTTCATTTTCATCAAAATGATTAGAGCATTTTGTTGATATATAATATTTTGAATTTTATTTATTATTTTGAGTTTGTTAAAAAATGTTAATGTTTTATAAGAGGAGTAGAAAAATACAGTGGACAAGAAAAAAAGATTAATACAAAGAACAGTTCCTTAATTTATTTAAATAATTTTTGCAATATAATTTTTATAATTTTTCTATCAGCATTTTTTTTTTACAAAGAAGACCATACAGTATTTTTCATGAGAAATAATTGCCTTTTTTGTTTCATGGTGTGACCAATCAGTTGTCTTTTGAGGTGATTTGCACAAATATCAAAGGCGTTCATGCATACAATTATCATATAATCAAATTGTTTTTTATCGTCATAACACAAAAGCATTTCAGAGCTTTTTTTATATCTACATGCTCTTGCTTCCTTAATTTACATGCTACATTGACCACATCACTCCCATCTCTCTCTCCCCCTCTCTCTCCTCTCTTTCTCTCTCATTGAAGTTAAGTATGTCAAAGTCGTAAAGTTTTTCAACAAAAGTACATATAGCGCCTCCTTCTGTACCCTGTCACATACTCCTGCTTTGTTTTTTTAAGAGAAAAAAAAATAAATTAGCCTGACTAAGACTACATCCAACAATTTTTTTTCATATATGGTATTTGAATGAATGATTTTAATTTTTTCAGCCTCACATTCGATTAGGTATTAAGACAACAACCTACTACATTGTGCATCAAAAAGACAGAGACAAAGAAAAAACTAAACAAAAAGTTGATAAAAGATAATTTCTTTGATTTGAAGATGGAAATAGAATCTTTTTTTTTTTATTTATGAGACAGGATTTTTTTTTATTATTGCGCGGGCTTCGAGCTCGTCACCTAACAGAAAAACACGTGCTACTCGTGAAATAAATTCAACACCCAACTACGGAACATCAAAGATACTGTAATGTATATATTTACTACAAAAATGTAATTATGTTATAAGTCAATTAGATACAATGTATGCCCACTTTGGCCAAAAATAGGAAAATCCTGTGTATCAAATATAGCAACTACTTGAAAATTCATATAAGTTTGTGGAAGTAACGAAAAAAATTACTGATGTTGCAAAAAATATTGTCAAATAAGATGAAGTAGCGAAAAAGTCTTCCTGTTTAGTTTCTATAAGTTTGCATTATAGTGAACATTCCACTTAAAAATGAAAAGTCTTGTCAAAGTTGCATGTTAATTTTATTTTTCTGCTCTCTCTCTAACATGTTTGTCGAATGAACATACAAGATATTCAACATCAATTTTTTTTTAGTTTATTATGATAGAGCCTATCTATTTCACATAAGATACCTCAGATATTGAACCATAGGACATGTAATTTTATTTATTAATTATTAGTTGCAATCCCGTAATCGCTTTTGACTTACATAGTAAATTTCTAACTCCATTTAAAAGCTAAGATAAGCATACCTGGAGGGGATAAAATCTCTTTGTTTTAGATAAATCGACCATCATCAAAAATTCATATCAAAAAATGCACAAGATGCATTAAGTGCAGGGTGAGGACACACCTTATATTAGTTTTTGATATGTTACACTTCTAAATTTTGACACCCGCACTTTCTATACTTAACTGTTTAGATGCTTTATATGATTTTAATCGATATATTATTTTGAATTATAAAAATGATAAATGAATGTTAAATAAAATTACATTTTGCTCACATTGAATCGAACAATAAGTCAGTAATAAATGATAATATTTTATTATACGATATGTGTTTTCTTTCGGTATCGTCCTGAATCCTCGGCTTTATTACGTTATGCTGCCTGTACACTTCACAAGATCTGGTCACGTGCTGGAGTGAAATATAATGTAATATAACGCGTTAATTGTTGTCAGTGATCTTTAAGCGAATTTTAGGGTAGGAGACTTTTTCTATGAATTATTATATTTCATCATTTTCAAGAATTCATTTTGTCATCTCATTTTTTTAGAATGGGGGCGTTAGATTTTAGTTAAGATATACATGCAAGGCCAATTTTGCATTATTTATCCCTCCAATACTGAAATGATTTTCTTTAAACAAAGTTTTTACAATGTAGATGGTCCCCCTACTCTTCTTTTTGACCTTATACTTCAACAGGTTTGAAATTTCCTTACATGAAACGAAATTTTGGAAAGTTAACGCCATGGCAACAGAAAGAAAGATTGTATTTTGGACTGTTTTATCCGCAATGCACTGGATGAATTCCTGTAGAAGCCAAACCCTTTCTTCCGACTCGGACACGTGTACAGAGCAAGATGAAATAAAGACTTTAAAAGATCAAACAGCGTTTCTGCAGCAGCTTGTCAGCAATCAGGCTATTGAAACAAAGGTGCTTAAGAAGGAATTAGAATCAGTCAAGGAAGCACTGTCCACATGTAAGAACCTTTTTCCTGATTTTTTTAAAACAGAGTTTTGCATTTTTATTTGATAATATATTATAACAATATTAAGTTTGCCTACCACGTAATGGGGGTAATAATGTAAACTAACTATTATCCATATCATCTTTTTATTTGCAATTCGTCAGTATGAAATTGATCTGCGGCATTATTTTCCGATTTAACAAACATTCTGATTGAATACAAAGCAAAATATTTTTTTTTGCACCGATTAATATTTCCTAGTTAAATGAGGTCATGACACTTGCAGATGCGAACAAAAGTTGGCTTTGAATTAAGGACGCGATTGCACGGCGTCACGTGATCACGTCATTTGGTGAATAAAAAAAGAATGTTTGCTGTAACTATTTCCGGAATAAGGAGCGTCATATGTTTGCGCTCATGACAAAAGGGGTTTATTTTTCTAAAGTAGAGAAAGTATAAGATATTAAAGATTGTTACGATGCACTGAGAGTGTTGGTGAGCGTTGATCATATTTTTTATCTATACGTGCATGTTTTACGATTTGACACGTCTATCTATTGTATATCTCTGAACATTGAAACCTATTTCATTAAAAATAAATTTGATTTATATCTTGAGGTTTATATCAGAATTTTTTTTTAAGATTGTTATTTATCATAGAATCTACATCTATGTATAGATAATTTCCAATAAGAGATTCAGACGGCGTGATTTACTAGATACATGTATAAATATTGATGAACGAAGGCGATTTTGATAAGTTTACGTGTTACGGCGAAGACCACTTATGCCTATAAAACATACCTTTTAAAAATATCTCAGAGGATTTTGTTTTCTCCTATAAGATCTTTAGCATTTTCAGCAGTGACACCGACCGTGTAAACATTCAATCATCGTCGCACATATGTTTGTAAACGATTGTTGTAAAATGTTTTATGCGTCGTATTGAAACACAACACACTTCTTCTGAAAGAATACCAGGGAAGATATGTACATAAAGAAATAAAAGAAGCATGTGAACTCATCATGCTTATGCATGGGAATACATTTGAAAAAATGTTTTTTTTAATCACATGGACATGAAAATATACTGAAAGGAAAAAGAAACGCAGGGTAATTTTTTGAGGTGATTTAAATTTGTTTTTCTCAAAATACTTATTAGTTTTCCTATCTACCTTTTAAAATCATCTTTCTAAAAGATATAACCAAGTTCTCATATGAATATGACTAATTATTCATGAGTTATTGAAGCTCAAATGACGATACCCCCAAAAGTGAAAATCGAAAACTCTCATTATTTTCAATGTCTATCTCTTGCATTTGTCAGAGTCTTGTTTCTCCTTTGCATGGAATTTCATCAAAGTGATTAACTTTCAAACCCTGGCTATATTTAGCATGGGTAACCGCGCAAAAAATAAGTCAAACGGAGCGCGCATGCGCCAGTGAGAGGAATACAACCGTAAGTTGACTGGCTCAAAAAACCAAATTGCGGAATTGTTTTCTTTCAAATTTCGTATGAATGTAATGATTATAATCGTCTACTCTATAAATGGCTGTTTTTGTGGTAGTAAGGTGGCGATTTAAGAGATGGTAGGATGAATAACTCGCTCGTAACATGGTTCTGTTTCGCGTTATCGCCATCGTCACGGTTGATTGAAACCCATTCCAGACCCTCTCTGACAACGGGTAAAACGTTTTATGGGGGAAAATTTACAAGAGACTGCTTAGTAAACCGTTGTTGCCTTTTTCATTGATTGGGCAATTCGAAAACAAGACATCATTGAACTTCCGTAAACTATGCCAAGATTGCAATAAATTCATAATGTGTCTTAATATTGAAAAACGATGTGGATACCTCATATGCATCAAATAATGCAACAAGATTTTTTGAAAAACTCGTCGATATCAAATTGCACGTGTTTTGGGCTTTTTAGCGTTTTCCCTACATGACGTCATAAATGTTACGGTTGAGTAATTCTGAATACAGATTTTGATGCACAGTAACTAAACTTCACTTCTGACCAATTTTCGTAATTTTTGGTCATGTGGTCAAATTTTTATCGAAAATTATGCTACCCTGCGTTTCTTTTTCCTTTCAGTATAGATGTCTCACTCCAGCATATATCATAAAGCGACGGAAAGTTATTTCAATCAATGATTATTTTTGAATCAAAACAGTAGATCTATAGTTTTGACGTCAATTGTGTCATTATGACGTCACAATGGAGATAGCGCTAAATCATCCATGTACAGGTCACTAAGAAGAAACAAGTTATTTTGACCACTGTCGGCGATAAGTAAATCATTGTGCTTCACATATAAAATGAGCATCAGCTGCCAGATTTTCAGAGAAAAAGTATTTATTTATCTATACATATGGCATTTATTGTCTTTAAACAGCTTATGCATATTTAAGGTCCAACAACAAACCATGATATGAAAATCTGTGAAATCTTTTAATATTCTAGGAGGGGGGTGGTGTACTAAAATGCGTGTAGCTTCAAAATTAATCTGATTACCTTACTTCATATTTGAAGCATAAGTCAATTATAATGACTAGTACAGCATATATTACTTTTGGGAAAATTCATTGGATAATTTTTTGTCTGGACGTTTAAAACTGCAATTGAGGTGAAAATATTACTGCAAATATACAATTTATTTTTCCCCAAAAAACAATGGCATTACTACATTTATCAATAGTTTCCGAAACAATTTTTATTTTCAATAAATATAAAGCATATTATTAAATATCTGCAGGAAAATATTAAATTTGCTGCGTGTTTTGTTGCGTGTATGGCATTATAAAACATTCACCTCATAAATATCAAAAGATTAAAAAATGGTGGTTACCATGGCAACTATAACTTCCTTATAAGCTTGATGACCATGCTTGATACTTTGATATAATGGTATCATTCACATTAGGTACATTATGTAAAAATGAGAAAAATTCATTGGGCAGAACTTTTTCACGGACCCGTGTATTCCTTTCCTTAACTGTATCAATTTTCCGAATGAATAATTCTTAGATCTCTAACTAGCTGACATCAAACTGTATATAAGGAAGGTTTTTTGGGTTTTTTTTCACCTGCTTGTGACATCCAAGTGAATAAAAGGATGTTTTCAATGTTTAATTAAAAATAGACTAGGGAATTCCGAAGTTATTAAATGGTTCTTGTAATTTCTTTTCTTACACCCATTTTCCTCTCCTGTGAAGAAATTATGATCGTTGTTGGGATTGGAAGGGAGGAGATTGCCCCTTTTTCTGCCTTAATTATCTGCATGAAAGTAAAAAATAACATTTAATGTAATAAGAAAATACTCATTGAAAGGATGTCGCACCTGATATTGGATCTTAACCCCCTCCCCCCAAAAAAGGTGTATAGAGAATGTCGTCATTTTTTATTATTTTTGGGGAGGGGGATGGGTAGGGGGTTTGAGGGAAGGGTTTTGTAATTTTCAGGCACAAACTACGTTGTTATTTCTATTTCATTCATCCCCCTCGAAAAACAATCCAACGTTTCTGGTATTAGTATTGTAACATAGAAAATTGATAAATATATTCTAAATTTATAAACTTAGTTATGTTTATTTGAACTTAGTTTCTTTATTTCTTTTGGCTGGGATCTCAAATGCATAGCCTGGTAGTAAAATGGCATCTAAAATTTCACGCCTATCAATTATCATATATATTAAAAGAAATATTGCATCATTTTCCGGTCAATATGAACAATGGTCAATATAAAAATTTTCAAAGTTCTTTATTTACCTCGACTTCGGGTTTAGTAATTGGTGTACTCCACATTTGATTTAATCAAGGTATTGACTTTTAAAACAGCGATAATTATGGACATTGAAAGCCGCACTATATTTTTATTTATTTTTCATGTCTGAAATTTTTTTGACATGACTTATTGCATGCATTTTACAAGTCTTTTCTTAACTTCTGCTTATATTTTAGAAAAAGACCATTTTTTCTTCCCAGTTTTGTTATATTAATTTTATATTTTTATAAAAATATATTTGGAATTTACAGTGATGCCTGACCATGTTGCCTTCCATGTGGTAGCCAAGAGTAGTTCCGGTCCTGGAGTGATTATTTTCGATCATGTGATCTCAAATATTGGAAGTGGGTACGATATTACCTCTGGGACATTTAGTGTGCCTACAACAGGGTTTTATGTGTTTTCTTGGAGCATAGAGACTTACGGACAGTTGACTGAGGCTGCTCTTTTAGTGAATGGATTAGAAATGGGAATATCAAAGTCCGACGAAGCCCCCTCTTACTACGACACAACTACTTCTTTTGCCGTTCTTGACCTTAAAATTAAGGACAAAGTATGGGTCAGAGTCAAAAGCGGGCAAGCTGAAGCAATGCATACGATGTTTTCTGGATGGAAGATCAATAAGAGCGGTAAAATATTTTTACGTATTTGAGAAATAATTCTTACAACTTTATCCTTTAAAATTGCAATATATGTCTTTCAACTTTATCTTTAAAATTGCAATAAAAGTCTTACAACTTTATCCTTTAAAATTGCAATTGTCAAAAATTTCTTTACTCTTATAAAAAAAAAAACACAAGTAATAAAATGGAATATTTATGCGGTTTGTGGAACCATTAACACTTATATTATCAGTCAATGCAATGGTAAACATGCCTATGTCCTTGAAAAGAGAGTTATTAGTCAGTATTTTTAATGGATGAAACATTTAGAAAAGCATTGGAACTACATGTCTGGGATTCAAATTGAACTAGTGCTAATTGTAACGGGGACCGTTACAGATGTTCCCCAAACGCTCCCCAACTACATTTTGGTGCCATATTCCCTGGGAGCTTCATTAAATAAGACAAACTCTATGCATCTGAGATTTTAACAGCATTTACAAAGAAGTGTACAAAAATCATTTGAACTTTAGCATTGCACGCGTGCACATGTGAATGCATTTGCGTCATGACCATATCATCTTGTCTACACAATCTATATTTTTAATACACTGAATATTAAAGTATTTAATCCAAAATTATTTAAAAAATACGCTCATTCAAGTGTATGTTTGATTTTACTCATTTCACGTGCACGCACGTGTATACATGAGCATGGTGACCATACCTTCTTGTAGAAGTCCATTACATCTATCTATGTTCTAAATTCCACCCCGTTTGGGTGAAAACTAAGGGAGTTATAGCTGTTAAAAGTTTCAGCCAATCAGATTGCAGCACATGTACACGCATGTGTATGCATGTGCATGGTGACCATACCTACTTGTAGAAGTCCATTATATCTAATCTATGTTCCAAATCCCATCCTGTTTGGTTGAAAACCAAGGGAGTTATAGCTGTTTAAAGTTTCAGCCAATCAGATTGCAGCGCACGTGCATGCACGTGTTTTCATGATAATTGCTTTATTTCATGTTGTAGGATATCCTAATGCATGGCTATGTTCAAAATTTCAAAGGATTTCGTCAAAAAACAAGAAAGATATTGAGACTTTAGTTGCAGCCAATCAGAGCGAAGTGCACGTGCATGCGCGTGAGATCTTGCTATTTTCACCATGTCGTCATGTCTATACTACTAATATATCCTCACATTATGAGTTTCAAAGCATTTCATCTAAAAATAGAACAGTTGTGGCTATATCTATTATATTGGTCATTTCACGTGTTGCACGTGCACGCTCTTGCAAGCACGTGCGCGCAAAATGACCTTGATTCCGCAAATCTACATAACATGTCTACTAACCCTAAAAAGGTTTTACCTACATCGGACGAACAGTTTACAAGATCATTCCCGGACAAAAAAGTTCCAGGAAGAAGAAGAAGAAAAATAATAATAATAACTAGATACGATCTCGTTGCGAGCAACGAGTGGGTCTTCCGTCCGATTCTTCATAAGATAAGATGAGATTTTGATTTAGAATTTTATTCTAAAATAATGATGAAGATTGTGAAGAAGAACGATTTTGCCTCCATAATCTGTAAACAGACATTGAACATTAAGACTTAAAAATTCGACTTTTGGCCCCTCATGCACCCTAATATATGGGATCAGCCCTTTTTTCTTCATATCATCTTAAAGCTCTCACGACATTTCTGAAACACCAAAACACTTTCTAAAATCATATAACAATCAATACCAACAAATTCAACTCAAACATGCAACAAATCTTCTACAACACACTAAACACAGACACTGAATATTACACATTTACTAGATTCAAATTCTCCCGCACCGGAAGTGACGTCATCATTACCATGACAACAACTGACCAATCAGAACAGTGTATTACTACGCGGCATTATTTCCAACATATATATAACCCCTATACAACACTTCTCATACCACTTTCACGGCACATCTCAACATACACTTAAATCCCATTTTCATATATATACATATAAAGGAGACATTCTACGGAACTTCAAATACTTAACAAAACATTTCATATATTACTTAACATAACTCAATTCCATCAAAAACGAAAAAAATATTCTAGAATTCCATCAAACATTTTTGCTTCAGTATTGTATAACAAAACATTGACTGATAAAGAGTTATCGATTAAAGACTTATGGCCTCTCTCGGCCCCTAATTTGAGTACCCAGCTCCTTTTTCTGGATTTTATCTTAATGCTCTCATGATTTAGAACACTTTTTGTTCAACAACTATTCAGAGATTCTCTTTCGTTTTCAAGTTATTTGTAAAATAAAAATTTAGGGGCCAACCCTTCAACTCCTTAATGGGGACGTTTAGCAAAAAATGAAAGGTTGCATATTGCTCAGAACATTATTTTGAACATCTTTTGTTCAATATTACTTATCACAATATTTCCCACTTTTGAGATATAAAGCGTCAAAGATTTAGCCTTCTGGCCCCTTTTGGCCCCTAATTATGTACCATACGACATTCAAATCGTATTATATAGTTGTCGATTGTTAAGATAAACATTTTTGCTTCAGTATTTAATAACAAATACTGACTGTTGAAGAGTTATCGATTAAAGACTTTTGGCCCCTCTCGGCCCTTAATTTGAGTGCCCAGCCCCTTTTTCTTGATCTCATCTTAAAGCACTTAAGATTTTGAACACTTTTTGTTCAACAACTATTCAGAGATTCTCTTTCGTTTTCGAGTTATTTGTAAAATAAAAATTTAGGGGCCAACCCTTCAACTCCTTAATGGGGACGTTTAGCAAAAAATGAAAGGTTGCATATTGCTCAGAACATTATTTTGAACATCTTTTGTTCAATATTACTTATCACAATATTTCCCACTTTTGAGATATAAAGCGTCAAAGATTTAGCCTTCTGGCCCCTTTTGGCCCCTAATTATATACCATACGACATTCAAATCGTATTATATAGTTGTAGATTGTTAAGATAAACACTTTTGCTTCAGTATTTAATAACAAATACTGACTGTTAAAGAGTTATCGATTAAATAATTTTGGCCCCTCTCGGCCCTTAACTTGAGTGCCCAGCCCCTTTTTCTAGATCTCATCTTAAAGCACTTAAGATTTTGAACACTTTTTGTTCAACAACTATTCAGAGATTCTCTTTCGTTTTCGAGTTATTTGTAAAAGAAATATTTAGGGGCCAACCCTTCAACTCCTTAATGGGGACGTTTAGCAAAAAATGAAAGGTTGCATATTGCTCAGAACATTATTTTGAACATCTTTTGTTCAATATTACTTATCAAAATATTTCCCACTTTTGAGATGTAAAGCGTCAAAGATTTAGCATTCTGGCCCCTTTTGGCCCCTAATTATGTACCATACGACATTCAAATCGTATTATATAGTTGTAGATTGTTAAGATAAACATTTTTGCTTCAGTATTTAATAACAAAATATTGACTGTTAAAGAGTTATCGATTAAATAATTTTGGCCCCTCTCGGCCCTTAATTTGAGTGCCCAGCCCCTTTTTCTTGATCTCATCTTAAAGCACTTAAGATTTTGAACACTTTTTGTTCAACAACTATTCAGAGATTCTCTTTTGTTTTCGAGTTATTTGTAAATAAAAAATTTAGGGGCCAACCCTTCAACTCCTTAATGGGGACGTTTAGCAAAAAATGAAAGGTTGCATATTGCTCAAAACATTATTTTGAACATCTTTTGCTCAATATTACTTATCAAAATATTTCCCACTTTTGAGATATAAAGCGTCAAAGATTTAGCCTTCTGGCCCCTTTTGGCCCCTAATTATGTACCATACGACATTCAAATTGTAATATATAGTTGTAGATTGTTGAGATAAACATTTTTGCTTCAGTAATGTATAATAAAATATTGACTGCTAAAGAGTTATCGAATTAAGCCTTTTGGCCCCTCTCGGCCCCTAATGTGATGATCCAGCACTTTTTTCTTGATATCATATTAAAGATCTTGTCATTCTGCACAAATATTGTTCAATATGTTTTAACAAAATAATTATACTTCAAAAGATATGGTGCAAAATGTCTCAAAAAATCAGTCATGATTCGTGTCCTAAATTTTGACCCCTACCGAGCTTCCATACTAGGCACTTCCGGAAATTTTGAAAATATAGGTACAAATCTTCAATATGTCGTCTATTACTCCTGAAAATTTCAGCCTTCTAGCGTTTATCGTTTTTGAGTTTTTGTCCGGACAAAAAGGTCATATAAAAATCGATTAAAGGGCGATAACTTGTGACCGGAAGTGAATTTCCAAAAATTAAGAAAAATGAATAAGGTTCACATTATTATAGATCATCTCTGAAATTTTCAAGGAAATCGACCAAACCGTCTCTGAGAAATCGTCTGCACAAAAATTGGTATGGAGAAAAATAATAATAACTAGATACGATCTCGTTGCGAGCAACGAGTGGGTCTTCCGTCCGATTCTTGATAAGATGAGATAAGATTTTGATGGAGATATTAAAATAATGATAAAGATTGTGAAGAAGAACGATTTTGCCTCCATAATCTGTAAACAGACATTGAACATTAAGACTAAAAAATTCGACTTTTGGCCCCTCACGGCCGCTAGTATTAGGGATCAGCCCTTTTTTCATATTATCTTAAAGCTCTCAGGCTTTGGAACACTTTTTGTTCAACAACTATTCAGAGATTCTCTTTCGTTTTCGAGTTATTTGCAAAAGAAATATTTAGGGGCCAACCCTTCAACTCCTTAAAGGGGATGTATAGCGAAAAACTAAAGGTTGCATATTGTTTAGAACATTATTTTGAACAATTTTTGTTCAATATGGCCCCTTATTATGCACCATAGGACATTTAAATCATAATATATAGTTGCAGATTTTTGAGATAAACATTTTTGCTTCTGTAATGTATAACAAAATATTTACTGCTAAAGAGTTATCGATTAAAGACTTTTGGCCCCTCTTGGCCCTTAATTTAAGTGCCCAGCCCCTTTTTCTTGATCTCATCTTAAAGCTCTCAGGAATTTGAACACTTTTTGTTCAACAACTATTCAGAGATTCTCTTTCGTTTTCGAGTTTTTTGCAAAAGAAATATTTAGGGGCCAACCCTTTAACTCCTTTAAGGGTACGTATAGCGAATAACTGAAGGTTGCATATTGTTCAGAACATTATTTTGAACATATTTTGTTCAATAGTACTTATCAAAATATTTCCCACTTTTGAGATATAAAGCAACAAAGATTTAGCATTCTGGCCCCTTATGGCCCCTTATTATGCACCATAGGGCATTCAAATCATAAGATATAGTTGTAAATTGATCAGATAAACATGTTTGCTTCAGTAATGTATAACAAAATATCAACTGATAAAGAGTTATCGATGAAAGATTTTTGGCCCCTCTCGGCCCCTAATTTGAGTACCCAGCCCCTTTTTCTTGATCTCATCTTAAAGCTCTCAGGAATTTGAACACTTTTTGTTCAACAACTATTCAGAGATTCTCTTTCGTTTTCGAGTTATTTGCAAAAGAAATATTTAGGGGCCAACCCTTCAACTCCTTAAAGGGGACGTATAGCGAAAAACTAAAGGTTGCATATTGTTCAGAACATTATTTTGAACATATTTTGTTCAATAGTACTTATCAAAATATTTCCCACTTTTGAGATATAAAGCTTCAAATATTTAGCATTCTGGCCCCTTATACCCCCTTATTATGCACCATAGGACATTTAAATCATAATATATAGTTGCAGATTGTTAAGATAAACATTTTTGCTTCTGTAATGTATAACAAAATATTGACTGCTAAAGAGTTATCGATTAAAGACTTTTGGCCCCTCTTGGCCCTTAATTTAAGTGCTCAACCCCTTTTTCTTGATCTCATCTTAAAGCTCTCATAATTTCCAACACTTTTTGTTCAACAACTATTCAGAGATTCTCTTTCGTTTTCGAGTTTTCTGCAAAAGAAATATTTAGGGGCCAACCCTTCAACTCCTTAAAGGGGACGTATAGCGAAAAACTAAAGGTTGCATACTGTTTAAAACATTATTTTGAACATCTTTTGTTCAATATTACTTATCAAAATATTTCCCACTTTTGAGATATAAAGCTTCAAAGATTTAGCATTCTGGCCCCTTATGGCCCCTTATTATGCACCATAGGACATTTAAATCATAATATATAGTTGCAGATTGTTGAGATAAACATTTTTGCTTCTGTAATGTATAACAAAATATTGACTGCTAAAGAGTTATCGATTAAAGACTTTTGGCCCCTCTTGGCCCTTAATTTAAGTGCCCAGCCCCTTTTTCTTGATCTCATCTTAAAGCTCTCAGGAATTTGAACACTTTTTGTTCAACAACTATTCAGAGATTCTCTTTCGTTTTCGAGTTTTTTGCAAAAGAAATATTTAGGGGCCAACCCTTCAACTCCTTAAAGGGGACGTGTAGCGAACAACTGAAGGTTGCATATTGTTCAGAACATTATTTTGAACATCTTTTGTTCAATAGTATTTATCAAAATATTTCCCACTTTTGAGATATAAAGCGTCAAAGATTTAGCATTCTGGCCCCTTATGGCCCCTTATTATGCACCATAGGACATTTAAATCATAATATATAGTTGTAGATTGTTGAGATAAACATTTTTGCTTCTGTAATGTATATCAAAATATTGACTGCTAAAGAGTTATCTATTAAAGAGTTTTGGCCCCTTTTGGACCTTAATTTGAGTGCCCAGCCCCTTTTTCTTGATCTCATCTTAAAGCTCTCTAGATTTTGAACACTTTTTGTTCAACACCTATTCAGAGATTCTCTTTCGTTTTCGAGTTATTAGCAAAAGAAATATTTAGGGGCCAACCCTTCAACTCCTTAAAGGGGACGTATAGCGAAAAACTAAAGGTTGCATATTGTTTAAAACATTATTTTGAACATCTTTTGTTCAATATTACTTACCAAAATATTTTCCACTTTTGAGATATATAGCGTCAAAGATTTAGCATTCTGGCCCCCAGTGGCCCCTTATTATGTAAGATACGACATAAAAATTATAATATGCAGTTGTAGATTGTTGAGATTAACATTTTTGCTTCTGTAATGTCTAACAAAATATTGACTGTTTAAGAGTTATAAAATAAAAACTTTTGGCCCCTTTCAGCCCCTAATGTGATGAGTCAGCACTTTTTTATTGATATCATATTAAAGATCTTGTCATTTTGCACAAATATTGCTCAGTATGTTTTAACAAAATAATTATACTTTAAAAGATATGATGCAAAATGTCTCAAAAAATCAGTCAAGATTCGTGTCCTAAATTTTGACCCCTACCGAGCTTCCATACTAGGCACTTCCGGGAAATATCCTGACCATGTTGCAACATGGCAATATGTCCTCTATCATCACTGAAAATTTCAGCGCTCTAGCTCAAGCCGTTTTTGAGTTCCATCACAGACAAGGAGGTCCTCAAAATTTCGATCAAAGGGCGATAACTTCCGACCGGAAGTGAATTTCAAAAAAATGAAAAAAACGTATAAGGTTTAGATAAAGATACACCTTCTCCGAAAATTTCATGTAAATCGGACTAGCCATCTCCGAGAAATCTTCTGCACAAAAATTTTAAAGAAAAAAAAAAAATAATAATAAAAGTGAAAAAGAAACAATAGAATAATAGAAGGGTCTTCCGTTGGAGACGGAAGACCCTAATAAGAAAAAAAGTGAAAAAGAAACAATAGAATAATAGAAGGGTCTTCCGTTGGAGACGGAAGACCCTAATAATAATAATAATAAGAAACAGAGTAAAAACAATATGTTCCCCAACTTCGTTTGGGGAACATAATAATTTTCAGTGAGCAAAACCCTGAGCAATGTAAAACCTGGACAATGAATGATCATAATTAAATATCATCGTAGTATCAGAAAGATTCTTTTTATTCTTTTCAGATATATTTGAAAAACACTATTTATCTGCGAGATATACATCTTCTATATATAGCATATTAAATATGGCAAATAGTTTAACATTAGGATTAATTTTATAGTCTGATAATACGTTATATTAAATTTTATTATATATAATTGATATAATACCGATGATTTCTGTGTATACAATAACAAAATAAATGATAAAGGATGAAGATGGATATACGAAGGATATACTAATTGTGCCACGTACGTTTCACGTATGTAACACATACGTGTATTTCAAACATACGTTTAACGTACGTTATGTGAAACGTATGTAGTCACACATATGTTATACGTACCTTGTACCACATACGTGAAACGTATGTTTGTTATACACGTATGTGATACATACATTTCACATATGTGATACATGTGTTATGTGCAACCATATGTAACACGTACGTGACACAATTAGCTGTGTATCTTCCCTGTGAAATTAATATACTATCGAGTTTGTAATAAAAGTAACCCCTTTTCGATTTTGCACAGATACTCTTGTGATCAACGAAGCCGATAGGCTCAATATCATAATATTGAAAAGAATTCACTGCAAAATGCATTCAGCAGATTCTTTTCTTCACTTTTTAGATTACTTCTTGTATTGATAATTTCTTTAACAAAAAATAAACTATCATGGATTACATCAAATTTGTTACTTTCATTTTCAGGTAGTACGGCATTTTATGCTTCTCTTTCTCGTGATGTGACCGGTTCCCCCATCACCTTTAACAACGAAATAATAGACACAGCTGATGCTTATTCGACAACTACAGGGAAGTTTGTGGCGCCTCTTTCTGGCCTTTACGTTTTTATGATGTCCGGACTTAGGTATGGGGATAAAATTTCCAATTTCAGGTTTTCCTTCAGTAATGGAATTTCTCAGCCACAAGTTTTAGCATACTCGAGCTCCGTAAGGTATGACAGCAGTGGTACCATGACGTTTGCCTGGATGAACTCTGGTGACTATGTCGAGGTTGATGGCTTAAGAATGAGGGCTACATCTATGTTTGCAGGATGGCTGCTGGTCAATGATAACGGTAACTTTAATACTTTTTTACATAAATATTTTAAGTATAAAGTTTTCCCAGGTCTTTTAAAATAAAGGAAAAAACCTCACAGGCTCTTTTGTCTCTTTAGCTCACCCGAGCCGAAGGTTTTCTGATAAAAAATTTTCCGTTGTCCGTCGTCTTTGTCATTGGTGTTGTTGTCATCGTCGTCGTTATTGTAAACTTTTCACATTTTCATCGTCTTCTAAAGAACCACTATTCCGATTTCAACCAAACTTAGTTCAAAGCATCCTAGGGTACAGGTAATTCAAATTTCAAATTTGTTGAAATGAAGGGCCACGGCCTCTTCCAAGGGAATATAATTATGAATAAGAAAAAAAAATGGCATTTTTTCAAAAATCTTCTTCTTAAAAACCACTGGGCCAGGAAAGAACTCATCTGGAACAATTCTCAGGTAGTGTAGTTTTAAGTTTGTTCAAATCATGACCCCCGCTGCAAGGGTGGGGACATAATGGCCGATAAAAGTTTTACATAGGAATATATAGGAAAAATATAGGAAAAAATCTTTAAAATTTCTTCTCAAGCTCTATAGGAACAGGAAAGATGAAACTAATGTTGAATCATCCCCAGGTAGTGTACATTCAAGTTTGTTCAAATCAGGACCCTTTGTGGTAGAGTGGGGGCCACAATGCCCGATTAAATTTTTACAAAGGAATATATAGGAAAAATCTTTAAAAATATTCTTCTCAAGATTTTTAGGAACAGGAAAGATAAAACTCATGTTGAATCATCCCCTAGATAGAGTGAATTTAAGTTTCTTCAAATCAGGACCCTCTTGGGTAGGGTCTTTTTCTCAAGAAGTTATATACAGAAATGAGGGAGGAATTCTCAAGGAGTATGTGAATTAAAACCCCCTCTCTCCCCACCCAAACCCACCATTCAGACAACTTTACAATTCTGATCTGATTTTTGTTTCTCCCTTGCCGATGTGCTTTGGTGAGCCATGTGGCCCCTGGGCTTCTTGTTATATCTGTGGTCAACACATCGCCTTATTTTTGACATGTACGAGGGTTGTTCAAAAAGTTTGTGGAAAATGTCGATTTTAAGGTCACCTGAGTAAACTCAGGTGACCAATTGCTATCCGTTTTCGTCCGTCGTCGTGCGTCGTGTGTTTACATTTGAACATTTTCAGCTTCTTCTCTGCAACCGCTTAACCAATTTCAACCAAATTTGGCATAAAGCATCTATGGGTGAAGGGGAACAAAAATTGTGAATTTCATACACCCTGCAACCCTGAGGCCTGAGGGGTGGAGCCAAAATCACTAAAATTAATGCAATCTTTAAAAATCTTCTTTACTCCTTAACATCAAGCAGTCAAACTGTTTGCATAATTGTAATCAGCATTGAGTTTTCTACCAAAATGGTGAAATTCATGGCCCTGGGTTAGGGGTTCTAGTGCTAGGGCGGGGCTATATAGATTATGTAGTGAAAAAGCATTATTTCTTTGAAAATCTTCTTCTCTGCTCCTGGGCATAAGATAAATAAACCAAGTACATAGTTTTGTTGAAGAAGGCAGCTTTTTCCAAAATTGTGAATTTCATGGCCCTTGGGTAAGGGGTTCTTAGGTGCTAGGGTGGGGCTATATAGATTATATAGTGAAAATGCATTATTTCTTTGAAGGTCTTCTTCTCTGCTTCTGGGTATTTAATAAACAAACCAAATACATAGTGATGTTGAATGATGCAGCCTCTTCCAAATTTGTTAATTCAATGGGCCCTGCCCCCCCCCCCTGGGGTCTGAGGGGTGGGGCCAAACTCACTAAAATTAAATTCAATCTTTAAAAATCTTCTTCTTTACTCTTGAACATCAAGCAGTCATACTGTTTGCATGTTTGTAATAAGCATTGAGTCTTCTACTAAAATTATGAAATTCATGATCCTGGGGTCAGGCGTGCTTAGGTGCTAGGGCAGGGCTATATACATGTAAATTATAAAGTGAATAAGCATGATTTTTTGTGAAAATCTTCTTCTCTGCTCTGGGTATTAAATAAACAAACCAAATACATAATTATGTTGAATAATGCTGCCTCTTCCAAATTTGTGAATGTCATGGTCCCTGCCCCCCATGGGGCCTGAGGGTTGGGGCCAAAACCACTAAAATTAATGCATTCTTTAAAAAATCATCCTTTTTACTCCAGAACATCAAGCAGTCAAACTGTTTGCATTATTGTAATCAGAATTTAGTCCGCTACCAAAATTGTGAAATACATGGCCTTGGGGTCAGGGGTTCTAATAGGTTCTAGGGCGGGACTATATAGATTATGTAGTGAAAAAGCATTATTTTTTTGAAAATCTTCTTCTCTGCTCTTGGTATTTAATTCAGTATGAAAGTTGTTACATGATACTCAGGTGACCTATAAGACCCGTTGGCTTCTTGTTGTTAAACTACTTACAATAAAGAGTCTTTACTTCATTTTAAAATCAACATGTTTTGTAACCAGGGGGCATAGATAATGGCAATTTAAGATCAAAAACTTAGTGTCAAGAATTTCTTTTCAATACTATCCCTATACATTTCACATAGTATTGTTCAATGATCATTTATTTCAACCCTTTTTGTAGCACTTGACATTAATTTTTTCTAACAATTGTTCTCCTTGTATAATAATACGTTTGTCGAGGTTTTATTTTTTTTTACAGCTTCATTGTGCTTTCACAAGGCAAGTAACTCTGAAGCACCTATGTTTTTCTATGACTCGTCAATTTATTAAAGTTTGCTAATATTTTACCCGGAAAACCGTTTCTTTAGAGAGTGCCCTCGTTCTAAACAGAGTCTCTGTCACTCGAATACCGCCTGTGTCATTTATTAGCATTTTTACGAAGGTTGGACATAATAATAAGGAATGACTTTAAATTTTGTCCCAATTATTTGCTTCTGAATTATTAAGCAAAACTAACCCAAACAAGGTTTTACTTGAATAACTTGGAAAAGTTAGAGTCATTTCTAAAATAACCTTTCACTATTATATCCAGAAATTAAAGAGTTTGTTTTACTTTGTAGAAAAAAAAATCCGAAACTCTCGATAGTTAGTCACCACTTTTATCCTTCCTTGGATTTCTTTATGTCTATTAATTTCAAAAAAAGGTGGAACAAATGCTGATGAGAACAAGGATTTGAAAGGCATATGTTTTTTTCTATTATAAATTTGTTTTTATTTTGAGAATACTTAATTTTTCCAATAATTATGTATCTTTTATTGCTACAAATATCAAAATTTTGTATTTATTTTATAAACAATCATAAATGATACTTGAAGAGAAAACGCTCATTTTTTTACGCCTCTTAATTGTCAATACGTGGTTGATTTCTATAAAATCAACTCTTAGCAATAAGTAGTGCGAATGCAAATATTGATGACTAGGAGGGGCGTTCAATAAATAATGTCATTGGGACTCGGAAAGAAAGCAAGAAAACGTTTTTCTATGATTTAGTCTGAATGATTTAAATAAAATATTCTCTTTTAATTAAAACACATGTCCGTAACATTTTTATTCAATTTCTAATTGTTTTAGAACACTTTTTGAGTATGACCCTCTATATACTGGAATATGGCAGGTCGTATGATTTGCTCTACTTGTTTTTTTTTCTTTCTAATAGATGTTTATGTAAGTTTGGGAATGAAACATGTCAAAGGTTGAAAGATCTGGCAAATTTTGTCGATGTGTCAAAAAATCAACTTTCTGTTTATCCCCAAAACTCTCTTTTTTTTCTTCATGGCCTGTTGTTTTGGATGCTGTCATGAAGAAATTTAATGTAGCGAATTCCCCATTCTGTTTCATTCCTCTCATAAACCTTTCAATTTTTGGCAAAAAATAGTTGTCTAGACTCCACCATGAACTTCCTCCCTATATATGAATTTGAACAACAATACCGCTAATATTTAAGAAATATTCAGACGGTACTCATTTTTGATGCTCATTATACAATTTTAGTTTATTGAAATCAATCTGTTCACTTGTCTATAAAACAGACATTGGCTGCTGTAAATTTAACATATTTCAGTTAATATATTTTTTGGATATTAACAAGTTTCACAGCTGCTTTAATGAAGCTTTTTATTTTACTCTAGTTTACTGATTTTTGACCATTTTTTTTAATGCAGTGTCTCGAATAGCCCTTGTTTTCCAGCTTCCCACAATGAAATAATGCGATGAAAAGTGGTCACATAAACTGTTATCAATTCATTAAAGATTAAAAAAATGAGAGAACACCAAGCTTAATGTCAAATTATTTTTATGTTGTATGTCATCGAGTTAATGACATTATTTATTGAACGTCCCTCGTATTATAATTATCATCATCTTTATTGTAAACGGAATAATTAGCATTTTCAAGTCATATTTTCTGAAAACTGAAGGAAAAAAGGGTAAAAACAAGAAGTGTTTGTAAACACAAATGCCCCTATATGGCGACATTGGGAAGATTAAACATTTCTTAAATGCCAATGAAATATGTTGGTACCCGACAAGAAATAAAACTGTGAAATTCGAAAGCGCTAGCACAACCTGTCCAAAAGTTATGGCCAAGATAAGTTTATGAAAGTTTTGCCAGTCACTAGTGTCAAGGTCACAGGGTCAAAATTGTTGGTTTCTAGAGAAAAATCTTGTAACATGGATTAAATATGTAGTATACATGAAGTATGAAAACCCTAGCCCTAACCATTCAGAAGTTATGCCAAGGTTTGTTTTTAAAACATGGGTAAAACTCCAAGGTCATAGGTCAAAGGGTTAAGGATGTTAGTATCAAATGAAAGGTATTTTCGCAAGAATCAAATTTGTGAAATAAAAAAGACCCAGCCCTAATTATTCGAGAGTTAATGTCAATGTATTCTATGAAACGTCTTTTTAAAAGGATTACAAATATGTAGTAGAAAAGTCCTAGGATTTACTGTTCAGTTACTGAGTATGACCGAGTTTAATTTTTTTTTAGGTTTGCTAATCTCCAAGATGGAGGTAAAAAGGTCATAGATGTTAGTATCCCATGGAAATTCTTGTCATAAAAAAACATTTAAAAACATTTTTTCAGCATGGAAGTCCTAGAATGTACCGTTCGGAAGTTATGCCCAAACTACAAGTTTTGAATTTAGGTGGTTAAAAAGTCATATTTGGTGATACCCCATAAAAAGTCATGTCACAAGGAATAAACATGTGAAGTATGTAGGTCAAAAGTTTATGCAGACAAACAGCTAGACAGATTGACAGACACACGGACGGAAACGACATAAACGACATACCCTGAATCTTTGATCACAATACTCTGATGTACACAATTACAATGTATATATTGTTATTTAATATAATTTATTCCCATTTTTTCTTTTCAGTGTCAAAATCAACTTTTCCAGCTTTTCTTGCTCATGCACGTCTTGGTTCCGACAGTACCCCAGTCGTTTATGATAAAGCTCACGGTGGTTATCACCATGGTTACTCGACAAACACAGGAGTCTTCACTGCCGATCGTGATGGACTTTATTTGTTTTTGTGTAATACTGAAACTTTTACGAGGGCTACAGTTACTGCTCTGAGAGTCAACGAAGTGGAAATTTTCGAAACGAGGTCAGACGCACGTCATGTTAATTTTGATAGCACTTCCGCTGTCACTGTTCTTCATTTATCTTCAAACGATCGTGTCTCTATAGGTGTTAAATCGGGGAGAGTTGACGAAAAGCAGTCTCTTTTTTTTGGTATACTTTTACATGAAATGTAACAAAACGTTTAATCATATTTTTGTGTGGAATGGTTAACATTGTTTTTTCTGTTATTGCAGCCCAGAGGACCAGGCTGCTCTATACATATAAGTTAAAGAGTTGGTATATGGGGATTGAGGTGGTTGAGTTGAAGCTATTCAGGTTTTCTAAATATTAAAAAAAGAGTTTTAATCAGAATGTTCTCTCCCATTCTAAATTACGAGATACACAATGTAATTACTTTTATAAAGTTTCACATATTTAATACATAAAAATGCTTATCATTTTCTAGCGAAAATACGACAGATCCCTTTTTTAGAACGTCAAATTTTACTTATTGCATGAAAACGTACTTTACGCAATTCATGTTTTATATTTTTAAAGTGAAATACATTTTTGAAAATAGGTGAAGCTGTTATTTGATTTTAATTTATATTTTATGCAGCTAACATTTAATTGAGGAATTAATAAAGTTTAAAAGGGTATCGTTTGTGTTCGATTTTCATCCGACTATAAGTTTTCAAAGTATTCTCGACTGTCATCTCCATAATTTAGACGCATGCCTTTTTCACACATATCTAAGCGGTTAGATGATCAAGACTCATTTCCATTGTTTATTTAATTTACTTATTTCCAGGGCGACAATTGATGATTACGTCAATGTTTTCTTGTTAATTTTATATGTTACTTTCAGCATTAGCGACTCACATGACAACCGGAAACAATGCTATAATGTTAAATACGCATATAATTCTCAAGAGGTTTTTCAACAAACGCACGGTACTTGCAAATTCAGAAAAAAAATAAAATTTATGATGAAAGGCTTTGTGGGTATTTACATGTAGCAAACAATAGGGTAAATATTTTCTTTTAAACTGAATTATTTAGAGAAATGAAGCGAGGGTTTGGACGTTTCCTTAGAGGTGAATGTACCTACAATTATTTCCGCTCAAATGCTTGCGAAACTATTGTAACTGGAATGTCAGTAGAGATTGATAATGATTTTTTGGATGTTAATTTCAACTACTCCCCCAAAAACTGTCATCATTTATATATTTTCATGCAAAGTAGCATTTAAATATTTGATTAAAGATAAAATAAAACATCACAATGATTTTAGTATTTTTTTTTTATTAAAATCGGAGATGTTCTGTTGTGTCTAGCATTTCAAATGATTTCATAAATGCAATAAACACTACATAATTATTTAAATCTTACAGGGAAATGCTGATTCATAATAGAAGCAGCTTTGATGATGCAGAAAAGTCTTATCATAAAAACTGATTAGATAATAAGGTTGTGCTAGTGCATGATGCAATGATAGTTGCACCATCCTCATAGACTGCATAAGGAAATAGGAAATATAGCTCAAAAAAGATACATTTGATTTTGATGAAATTCTAAAGATACACCTAAATTAACCAGGAGCTGTGCTCACTCCAACATGGCAAGTGTCCCACCTCTGCTGTTTAGGGGTCTCTGTTTGCTCTGTTCCTATTTTGAAATATTTAATAGTCTTTGAGCTTGAATAGTCATTGTTATCTCAGCATACGGGTATTTAATTATTGTAAAAAAAAAATGACATTTTTTTTTATCGTTTGGCTACACACAGCTTTAACCAAGCAGTCATTTTCCGTGACAAGGAATGCTGTTTACATTTCAGATGGTGGCAACAACAGTTGAGAGATGCAATGGAATTTTAGAATAGTCATGAAATTAGATAAACACATTGAAATTATTTTTAAGAGAGTTATTTTTTAAGTAAATGGAATGAAATAACCTTACATTTTTGCTTTTGCGATATGTATTCATCAATTATCTTATTAGCTTTTATAAGACATTTTAAATTACTTTTCTTACTAAGTTCTAGTAAATATCAATAATATTTCATAAAACAGATTTTGTAATGTTAAACATCTTTTCCAGAACTTATCTTGGTGCTTAAATCACTGACTGAAAGCTGGGTGAATGTTTCATTTACAGTTAAGCACGTCGGCAACGTGCTGCATAGAAGGGATGTTTCCTTTGTAACACATGGAATTTGTTTTATTGCATAGTCTATTAATTCTCCCTTCATAATCTTAAATTCTGAAAACACTTCATAAAACTACATATCGATAGGATGTGAATTCGTATTCAACGAAGTGTCGGTTCGCGTGTATTGTAACTTTACACTCATATATCTCAAAAATGTTGTAAAGAATAGTTGCAACAGCTGGAGCCAGCTGTTTATCTGTTATCTTTTATGCGTTACTGAAACTTGTAAGATTATTTTCGAAGCATTTCAGTGGATCCAACTTTACTTTGGGAGGAAAAAATTACGAAATGCAATCTGGACTTTATTTATTGTTCAACAACAGGATTTTATAAATAAAGAGGGTGTCGCCACGAAGTTTTCAATTTAATAATTCATTTAAAAGGGGACAATATCATAAAACAATAATTAACTCCTTTGGTGATGAATATAGTTTGCTATTTATCAGAAAAATATCAAAATTGACCTCGGTCAACGTTGATATTTTCTGATTAATAACAAATGCTACAATCCGGTAGATCCTAATTCTTTTAAATTACTAATTTTGTCAGTCTTCTATTTTGTAATTTATTTTTTAAAAAGTAAAAAAAAAAGTCATATTCATAAAAGAACAAGGTATGGTTTCCATACAAATCTTGCCCTGCGATTTTTTAAAACAAAAATGAAAATGGTGTAAAATACGAAAACTAATGCTTTGTGACTCATTGACATTCCATGAAGAAAAGAGCACACAAATCATTTTTCTCACATGTTCTAAATGCTAATTGTTAGTTCATAAACATTAGCATTTTCCCGTATTTTCTTCAAAAGTTGCAAAAGACACAAATTTTCAATGAAATTTTCTTTTAGAAAATGTTCTCCACAAGCATCGCCCATAAAAATTTTAAGATATTTGATATTTTGTTGTTTTTTTTTTTCACAACATATCAAAAAATGAAAGTTGGCGACAGCTGTGGACACTATTTTTTGAAAGAAAACTACCCTTGAAATTGGTTAATTAGATGCTTTTTGTTACAAATAGAGAAATGCGTCACATTAATTACGTCATATTTACAGAATGGTAATCCGTTGTGCTATATATTTTTCCTGATCTATCACAGTCATATACGTGAGTAATATTTCAGCCATTTTTAAGACTTTTTGATGACATTACTGTTTAGGGCACAACAAAATTGAAACCATACATTCTTCTTTACCATGCCAACAAATATTTCCCAAAATTAAAACAACAAGTAAAACAATCCTTCCCCCTATCATACTGCGGGCTTACTGGAATGCACTTTATTTATTTAGAGAAATTATTCATTCCATTGATTATAAACATAATAAAGGTTATCTGAAAAGGATTTTATTGAAGAGACTATGCTTAAAGACATGAACATGATATAATTAGCATCTTACAAAGATATATGTACCAAGGATCAATCCATGTCCAGTTTAAACAAAAAAGAAAACCAAAGCAATTCCCATTTTACTTTTTTAACAAAAATCTCGTCTTACAGGCATTAAATTAATTTCGTATATCGAATTCAGTTTCAGTCAACAAATAAAATACTCAGTAATAATGTCTTTATTAAAATAGCACCTATGATCTTAACGCACAGAAAAGTCAATCAAATGTATAAATATATTAAAGGTGCAGAGTAATGTAGATTTTCAAACAAGCAAATCCTCATCGATGCTTCTTAATACACACTTTCAGTTATGTAGGATAGTGAGAAGAACTCTATCAATCTTTGCATGCTTTGATCATTATATATATACACTGATTAATGCCACTGTCATTATGAAAAAAATATTACAGACTCCTTCACATATTTCTTAAACGTTATCATAAGGTCATTTTTAGGATTCGGGCATTGGTCCTTATTTACATCAACTGCAATCAGCTCTTTGTTCCCTGCAGAAAGAAATTCAAAAACTATTTTTATGGCAAGCCCGTTTTGCTATTTATTCGGAAAATAAATTTTATCTTAAAATTACACAGATATCTCTCATTTTAGAGAGATATCTCTTAACTTAAAGAGATATCTCTTATTTTTAAGAGATATCTTTTAAAGTTAGAGAGGTATACATGTATCTTATACTTAGAGAGATATCTCTTTTTCCTTGAGAGATATCTCTTTCTCCCTGAGAGATATCTCTTTCGTGAAAAGAGATATCTCTGCACGTTAAAGAAGAGATATTTCTTAACATTAAAGAGATATCTCTTTTACCTAGAGAGATACCTCTTTCACTTTGAGAGATATCTCTTTCACTTTGAGAGATATCTTTCCAAGTTATAGAGATATCTCTCAAAGTGAAAGAGATATCTTTCAAAAGGGTCTAAAAGAGATATCTCTCGAGCAAAAAGAGATATCTCCTTATTGCAAAGAGATATTTCTCTTCATTATTTTTATTTAAATTCCATTTGAAATGACTTCTCCCTTTACCGGAAGTAAGCTTTTTATTCACGGAACATTACAATCGTAACTAATTGGCCATTTCCGTAACCACAAATTCTTTTTATCTGTTACGGAGAAGGGCGAGCGTGATCCGATTGGGAACATTACAGTATTTTTAAATTTCGACATATTCATGATATTATAGCTGAATGTGGCAAGTAATTCAGTGCTGTCTAGATTCTAATTTAGTATAGATAGTTCATTATTTCAAACGCTGAGAAAATTCGGTCCAGAGTCTTTAAGTTTCGTCACGTGACTCGCGAGATTTTACGATAATTATCATTTCCGGGTAACTCGCACTAGTGTTGTGTATTGAGTTCGGCATGTTTCAGGTTTACACATAGCTTTCGGGGGGGGGGGGGGGGGAATCAAATAGTTTTACAATGCGGGCGGGTTTTCCAACTTACGATGGATGAATTTCATGTCATAAAAACTTGGGTGCGAGCGTCCACCAGGAAAATTTCATCGAAGTACAGGTAAACAAATCAGAGAGTGTCATCCATTTCTTGTTTATTTTTAGGGAAAATTGAAGTGTTTGATTCTCAACCGAATGAATTTGTTCCGTGATTATCTTTTGCCTTAATTTGTTAACAGATTTTTTTTTAATCCAAAGACGATAATGTAATTATCAGCTGATTATTGAGGAGGAGTTTTGTGAATGTCCGTTGGGTACTAAAGTCATATTGTGACTGCATCACTTTTGTTTGGGTAAATATTTTTTTAATATATGTTTTTTCAGTAAAGTTTTACCTGTCGGGTGTCTTTGGATTAATTTTTTGAGCAATAAAATGTTTCTAGCAATTTAGATCTATTTCACAAGGATAAGATGTTCATATATTTTTCCATCTCTCTGCATTTATCAAAATTCAGATCACGACAATAACATGACCATATTTCTAACTTTAGAGAGTATGACCATATTTCTCACTTTGGAGAGTATGTTCCCTGCTAATAGAACATGGTTTTGGGATTTTGGTTTCATTTTCTGTCAGTACATTTTTCTGTAAATTCGCCCGCATGGCGCAGTGGTTAGAGCGTCTGCTCTAGAGTCACCAAGTAAGGAGTTGATCCTTTATTCCTTACGTCGTGGGTTTGAATCCCACTATGGAATGTGGAGACCTGTCCTTGAGATGATATAGTATAAACCATGGCCCTGTGTCGAAGTAGGTGTTGGCACAAAAAAGATCCCTCTCTGCTCAATGGCCCCAAGTGCCAAGTATCGGACAAAATATGCAGCTCCCCACCGGTGTTTCCTTATGAGCAAAAAATTCTTGAGATAGACGCTAAATAATATACAGGGTGTTTCACAATATATGTCACACATCTAAATGGTTATACTCTGAATATCGAGCATGATACAAAAAATACCAAAACACTATAGGTAAGCATATTGATCTAAAATCATGATATTGCAAAGTGTTGGGAAAATTACGATATACCTTGATATAACTGATGATATAATCAGTGACCTCATATTCTTAGCTATTCTCGAAATGGAGTACAACTTGCAGCAAAAATTTGTTGTAAACTTTTACTTTAAGAAAATATCCTGAATATTGTACAGGGCATGATGATGAAAAATATCCA